CAGCAGATTCAGCGAATACACGTATTTGAGCATTACCAAACGGACTTTAGGTAAGGACTCTTACATGATAAATGGAAGGGTACTTCTATTCACGGCCACACTTTTTACTAAATACTACAGGTGACAACTCCGGTACCCATTTAAAAAATGGGGTACCGTACCTACCATGCATTTGATTGGTCCAAATCATTATATGTTTTTTAATTTAGATTTAAATAATTCAACTGCATCATTTTTATTGGTCCATTTGGACAAAGGTACGGTACATTTGGGGTACCATAGAATCTACCAATACTACAATCACATATTTTTTATAATTCCTATTATATCCTTAATGATATCCAACTTAATATAGTGTCCCGTAGCAAATCACGTCTGTGTAGTCCGTTCCGTCCAATCTTAGATACAATATAGAGATCCAATATTGAACTCTGAATTGATCATTGGCTTCCATCTATTTTCTGAAGAACCATGCAAAATTCCCGATAATGTTGGCTGAATTTGTATTCGTCACTTAATTCTTCATTGTTCATTCCATGAATTGTAATAACTTACATGCCTGCAATAATGTTTTCGATTCCAAATTCTTCCGTTTTTTTAAAATTAAGCTTTAATTTACTAAGTCATTTTGATATTGATTTGATTTCATTCTTAGCACGATGCGATTCTTCATATTTTTCAACGGATTCATGCTATTTTTAAACTACAGGTTTCTAGTTTTTAAATCAAGGTGCTTGTTTAACATACGGAAGGTGAGATTCATCACACAGCCTCAAGTTTCTATTTCTTACAGCCCCAGTACCGTTCTTAAACGCTGGAGAGGTGAAGATATATGGTGACGTAACGACGGAGTCTCATAAAAGACATGAGGAAGATTTGATGACGGAAATTGTAAAGAAGGAAGTAGAAGAAGAATCGAAGACCAAAAGGGATGGTGGAGCAGAGGTCCGGAGGAACACAATTTAGGGTTTAACAAATCTGGGTAGGAGGAATATCTTGAACGCAGGAGACAGGACCTGCAAAGGAAGAAGAAGCAGAGAGATCGGATAGAAGAAAAATACTCTAATATTACTAAAACTCATGACTTTTCCTAGAATATGACCACATATGTTTTTAATCCTATGCATGACCAAATTGAACATCACATACATGGGACGGCTGTAATTAATAGAATGAATAACCTATAATAATGCACTTATGCGGTTATGCCGATAGAACTAACTCCTTAATTTTAGGAATAATAATTAATACAATCTAATGCATGCTCCCCTCATCGGCAATTAAGGGAAAGTTCGTTGGGAAAAAAAAGTAATGGTTTGAGAAGCATGTACTGATAATTGATGTCGTAATAAATGCTGACTGAGTGAGCATAGGCAGTAATCGGAGGACAGTAAAGAAATGAGCAATAAATTAATGCATTGAATATGAGGTAAAATGACAGTAATATTTATGATGACGGATAATGATATAGGCAATAACTTAAAAATAATAAATGTGTTATTCTATTCATCCGTTAATCCTTCTAATCGATTAAAATGAAATGGGCATTAATTAAACATGAAAATGAAAGTAAATATGTAAGAGGGCAATAAATGTGTAAGAAGGCAGTATAGTGTGTATTACATATATTTATATTATATACTCCATATATGATAATAGTGACTGCTATTGTATAATCGAAATACATATAATAAAATAGTAGTGACATGATATGTATATACGATAGTATATTGAAATAATAGTAGTAAAGTGATATATTATCTATAACATTAAAAACATAAGGGCAATAAATTTGATTAAGGAGTAACATTGGTCAGTAAAACCTAAAGGGCAGTAAAATAATTTAGTATGACATCTATGGAAGTCTGGAAGTAATGAGAATATGTCATAATTAATCAATCGGAAATATATTTAAATATTAAATAATAGATATGTGTTACCATATTTCTAGGATTACTATAATTAGTCATGGCCGTTACCATATTATTAGAATTTCTATTTATTAAAAGGGATTGTCGTCGTACTTATCTATCTATCCGACTAATTAGGAAGAAAAAAACATTAAACAACTTCCGTTTTAATCTTGTTAGGAGGGAAACCGTGGAATTAAAAACAAAAATAAAACAATAATTAATCATGCACGTATTAGAGTAGGAAATAAACTCATGAAGTCATATATTGGGAAATGAGAGATGTTTTAGTGAAATGAGGGATAATTATCTCTTTAGTAAAAAGGTGGTTGTATTTAGAATTTCCCTAAATGGAATCATTTCTCGGCTTACAATCTGTTTTATACTCAGTAGTCATCGATCTGAGTACGAAAGACACCAATTGGCTGTGGGTTTTATCTACAACTTTTATTTATCAGAACTGAGATACTCATTATTTTATTAAATAAATAAATGATTTATGGAAAAGATAATTAAATAGTATTCCAAAAATGGTGATTTTGATTTTAGCTTAGTGATGACTATGATAGTAACTTTAATTTTAGCAATTTATGCTTAACTTTTCACACGTAAATGACAATGACATTATGACAATATATCCTATAGGGAGTGTTTGCAATAGTTTAAAAAACACTTCTCACCTTTTGGCTTAAAAAACACTTACTACTATACGTATTTACCAAATACTAACAATTTTTACTTTTTCTCAGCTTGCGTGTGAAAAGTGTGTTTCCCTTTTCTATTACACAAAAAATACTACCAACTTTTACATTTCAAAATCACTTTTTTCTCAAACACTATCAACTTTTACTATTAATCACTTTTTCCAACTCACTTCAAAAGTGCTTTTTTAAAGCAGAAGCAATTGCAAACACTCTCATAGTACTACATAGCTTTTAGTTAAATTTCTATAATACTTCCTCCGTCCCGGTTGAGACTTGACGTTTTGTTTTGACACGATATTTTAGGATATCAATTGATAGAAGGCGTAAAACCCCTTTTGCCCTTCTTTACTTTCTTGCAAGTCCCGCAGTCTATGGGTCGGGAGCTCATCTACCATTTAATCTCATTTTCCATTATCTAAAATTCCTTTCTCCAGATCAACTATTCCGTATACGGAGTATTTTCCGGCAAAGATGTCGTTCCCGGAACTGGAATCGATGTGTCGGCGGCATCGAGGTCTCAGTTGCCCTAATCGTCGATTGACGAGCTTCCACACGTTAGTTGGTGTAAGATAACTAAAGGGTATAAGGACAATCTAATACAAAAAGTGTTACCGAAAAAGGAAACGTAAAGATTTAAATGAGACGTCCTAAAAAGAAAAATGTAAAGATTTAAGTGGGACGGAGGGGTAACTTTTATTTCTATAATGTTTTTTAAAATACCTCTTTTAAATAAGAGAAGTTGGGGACTTAAGTATAAGATTCATGATATGTAATAATAACATGCACAAAAACTGAAAAGAGGTTTCAAATATTCCATTCAACTTTTAGAATAAATTTGGTAACACCAATTTTTTTGTGTTGACCTTGATCCGGTAATTTCTCGTGGTCACTTTCTCTTTTTACAACATAGCTTTAAAGTCCTAGCTTTGCACTTATTCATTATTCTAATCTCGTTAAGAAATTTACTCTATTATATATTGGTGTATATATTGTTTTATTGAATATTTGTACGAACGCTGCATTAATAATGTAAACACCATGGAGAAAAGAAGTTTTTGATTTTGAATTTTAGGTCTTAGTCATTTCAATAATTCAATTCATTGAATTTAAATTTGCGATTACGTCTTAAAACATAATGATAATTAATTGTATGATCGCCTTTAAATAGTATTTTTCCCCAGAATGGAGTCTAACTTCATTACATTTTCTGACATTTTTATGGACTCTGCTGAAAATATGACATATTGGCCACATGCAATCAAAAAACAGTTTTCTTCTTCATCTCGTAATTATGGAAGAGGAATATGGAGTGTTAACTGAGAATGTGATTTTAATAATGTCTCGCTCTAATGGTGTACACCAAATTTGGGAATGTGAGACCGTGCACGTAAAGTTGTGTTTGAAGCCTTGTTATATTCCTAACATGCTTGAGACTTACGTTCCTTATTAACGTGTTAGTTCTCGGTCCTGTTAAGTTTGTCTCATTTTTCCTTTTGAGTTCATCCCGTTAAATTATATTGTTCCTATCAGATTTAGTAAAATTTGTGTAGTTCTAAATCATTCTTACTTTATCAATTTAACATCAATCACATAAACTCATTTTAATTGGTATGCATTGTCATTCCCTTTTGTACCATTGTTAGTGGAACGGAGAGAGTATTATGTAAGCATAATTTTAAGATGCGTTACCCTAACAATTCAAAAATAATTTTTTGTTCTCCAAACACTTATGCACGCTAGCTAGTTAGCTAAGCACCAACTCTGATCTTATCATAGGCACGCGGCTTCATCGTACGTCTAGACTTCAATTTCTCTAGTTAATTAATGTTCGATACAACTATTGTTTTCTTTTATTTTGATACAGCTTATTCGATCTATATTATTCTTCTTGAATATCCAAGTCTATTATTACCAAATCCGACAACGTTGAATATGATTAGAGAAATTTATGTTAGGGGATGTCTGGTATACAATATAATGGCCGGTGAAGAATATTATCCCAATCTCCAAGTTGTTTATGCTTTGCTCAAGAGTCATGGCCAGTAATCCAGTGTATTCATATACATGGTCCACATTTATATATGAATATATGAAGCACAAATAAATATATAAGTACTAACTGTTAATCTGTTATTAATTAGGAAATTGGATTTGACACCATTTTTGTTCATAATTTTAAGAGAAAATTACCATGGGGATGAGTAAAACTTCATGAGTTTCCCAATCTATGACCTAACTAGTTTTATTCTCAAAATAATATTTAAAATTTTAATTTTTAATTAATTTCGTAATTAGTAAATAATTAAATTAATTTCATGTACTAATATACCCTTTAGAATATGCCTATAAAATCCTAATCTTCTACTCATTTTCTCTAAACTAAGCTCTAGCCTTAGCCGCACATCTGCCTCCCACGACCGCCTGCCACCACTGTCCTGCTGCATGGCCACCTGCCGCCTCGCTCCGGAGAGCCATCATCCATGTGCGCCGCCGTCATCCCAAGCTTGGTGCGCCGCCTCTCAAGCCCCACCCTTCGTCCGCAACCAGCCCCGCCTTTCGTACGCAACCAGCAGTGCCTCCCAGGTGCCGCCATTCGCCCATAAGCAGCCGTCTTCGCCGTCTAGCTGTCGGAGAGCCATGTGTGCCGCCGTCGTCCCAAACTCTACGCGTCGTCTCCCATGCCCTGATCTTCGTCCCCAACCAGCCGCCACCTTCCAGGTGCCACCCTTCGTCCCCAACCAGCCGCCGCCATCTAACTGCACGGCCGCACTCCAACTCACCGCCTCCATCTAGCCGCATGACTGTCCGCCTCCATGGGTGAAGATGACTCGCAGAAGACTTCCGTAGATGAATACTCCAATTACAATTAGGTTTGGATTTTTTATGTGCAGACTTAGGACTGCTACAAGGCTTAGCCCCACCATTCTCAATTTTTTTTTCTATTTTTTAAAGTTTGGGTTTCGAAAATTAGAGTTTCTAAGCATTGAATATGTGCAGTGAACATCATAACAGATATATATTGTTGAGAATGGAAATATATATGTTGTGCATGAGAGTGAATAAATGCATTAAGAAAGTTTATTGTGCAGTGATAATGACCGGTATATATGCAGTAATACAGAGCAGAAATTTCGCCATGAACCGCAATATACTTAATTCGACATAAAATAATAAAATTACTAAATCTAAAAAAAAACTATAAATAATTTTGTAAAGTCAATTAGAAGAGAGTCAATTTTGATCGAAGGACAGTGATTATTACCGGATGTGCAGTGAAGTGATGCATTAATTTTGTACATTAACGACAATATAAAGTGAAGTAATTTTAATTGAACGAAATTTGTGCAAAATTCACATATTTTAAATAAGGGTATTTTCGTCATTCAACATTTAAATATAAATGAATTTTCTATTTGTTTTTGGATTTTTGGTCATACAAAGGAATAAAAACTAGTTAGGTCATAGATTGGGAAACTCATTGAGTTTTAGTCATATTCTAGTAAATTCCCCTAATTTTAAGTGGACTTTTGTGGAATGTTTGCTACGGAGTATTTGTTATATAAATAATATATTTGAAAATGCATTAGAGTACTTTACTTTTTGGTCAATCATATTTTAGGTGGATGTTTATATTTTTATGAAGGACTAATCGTAAGAGAATAATAATTGTGAAAGAATGACTTACCCATTAGGGAGCCCTAACATGATATGGTATTTATAATAATAAATATTAAGAGTATTTACACATAAGTCCTTATAATACACTATTACACCCCCATCAACTTGTGCAAGGGAAATCACATACAGATTGAAACATAAAAACTCAAAACGTTGACTAGATAAATTTTTAGTGAAAGTGTCAGCTAACTGATACTGAGTAGGAATATATTTCACAACCAAATCCCCATGTGCTACACGTTCACAAACGAAATGGTAACCTATCTTGATGTGCTTGGTGCGATCATGTTGAATAGGGTTCACGATGAGATAGGAGTAGGAGGCGGAGACATTGTTACAAAACAGTTGAACAGGTGCGAAAATACGAATGCCCGTGTTCAAGGGTAATGACCGAATAAATAGAGTGTCATGGACTGTGTATGCTACTACTTTATATTCGGCATATGTGGAAGATTTTGATACATGTGGTTGCTTCTTGGATCTCCATCAGATAATATTGCTTCCAATGAAAACAGCATAGCCAGTAGTAGATCGGCAAAAGTATGGGCAACTTGCCCAATCAGCATCTGAATAAGCCACAATCACAGAAATGCTCTGCCTTGACTGAAACCAGAGGCTGTGTGACGTGGTACCCTGTAAATACCTGTAAATTCTTTTGATTGCAGCAAGGTGATGAGTAGTAATACGTGGAGCATGCCTAAACTGGGAAACCAAATGTAAGGCATACGTAATATCTGATCGAGTAATAGTAAGTATTGTAATGCACCTACCATGATGCGATACTCAGTACCATCACGTAGAAGATCCCCATCCGAGAGAGACAAAGTGGTGCAAGATGGAAGGGGAGTTCTAACGGGTTTAACTGTGTGGAGATGGAAACGATGTAAACGATCAGTAACATATTTTTGTTGGGACAAGAACATACCTTTGGAGGTTCGGACGGCCTGAATACCAAGAAACTAGTGAGAACCCCCCCCCCCCCTCCCCCCTCCCCCCTCCCCCCTCCCCCCCGGCCTATCATGGAAAACTGACTAGATAACAGATTAATAAAATGATAAACCAAAGACAAAGAGCTACCAGTAATTAGGATATCATCCACATATAAGAGAACATAAATAATGCGACATTGATAGCGGTAAGTGAACATAGAGAGCTTTTCTAAGTCGACATATATGAGATGGATGATTGGGATGATTAAAATCCGAAGATTGTTGCATATAACCTCTTCTGTCAGCTGGTCGTGGAGGAATCCATTTTTCACATCTAACTGATGAACCGGCCAGCCTAAGGAAATAGCAACGGAAAGAACAAGACGAACTGTGGAGGGTTTGACCACCGAACTAAAAGTTTCAGAAAAAGCCACCCCATCATGTTGATTAAACCCTTGAGCTACCAAACGAGCATTGTGACGCGCAACTGATGACCCATCAGAAAGATATTTAGGGGGTGTTTGGAACTGATTCTGCTTCTTTTTAAAAAGCAGAAGCAGAATCAGAATCAGTTTTCAGAAGCTGGTACCCCCCAGCTTCTAAAAAAACTGATTCTGAGAGTAAATTAGAGCTCCAGAAGTGCTTCTGGAATTTCACCCAAACACTCCAGCTTCTGCTTCTGCTCCCTGAAGGAGCAGAATCAGTTTTGATAATCAGATCCAAACACCCCCTTAGTTTTGTATATCCATTTACAACCAACCACATTTTTTGTTCTATCACAAGATACTAAATCACAAGTATTATTATCAATGAAAGCATTAAATTCATCAGCCATGACTGTCCGCCAAATTAAAATTTTATTTGCTTGGGAAAACCAAGTGGGATCGTTGGGGAGAGCTAAAGTACTTGTTTAAAGTAAAAATAGATTTTGGTTTAAAAATTCCATCTTTAGCTCCTGTGCGCATGGGATGTATGTTGGGGGCCATAGGTGCAGTTGGTGCACGTCAATGAGGGGAGGTCGAGATCGTGGTCGGTGGGTCGGTGGGTCGGTAGGGCTAAGCTCAGGGGAGGGAGGCGGGGTAGGTATGATTTGTGTTGTGTTGCTGGGCCTTGGTGAGTCAGTGAGGGGCAGAGCCTACACTACCAGAAAAATTGTTTTGTGCAACAGAATTTTCATTACCTAATGTTGCTAGTTCATTGCACATTCCATTGTGCAACAAAATCAAATTCGTTACGAGATCGTTGCCTAAGTATCGTGGCCCATTATACTTTATGTGATGGACCAAATTTTTGTTGCACATAGTAATGCTAATGCATCATTGACTTTCGTTCCCTAAAAATGTACTTTGTGCAACAAACTTTTATTGGTTGTATAGTAGCCCCAATTACTTTTGTGTGTTTTAATTTTATGTGGCACATATATCCTTAGTGCAACAATAATTATCATTTGTAGCACATACTATTATTGTGTGCTGTAATTGTTTTTGCACATGACTCTTTTGTGCAACGAAAATCTCTTTTCTGCAATGAAAATCTATCTTTTGTTGCCTATATAGTTTTAGGTGCATTTTATCGAGTTCGAAATTATGATAGAAAATAAAATACTTTTATCACATGAAACTGATCAAAACATATCAATGCAAAAGTTTGCGAGTTTTCAACTCATTACATGTTTTTTTACCCATAGCAAGATTAATTCTTCACAAATTATCTAAAGGTACTCATACAATATAAAGTAAACAACATTGACGAGCATAGTCTCAAAGTCTATCAAAATAAACTGACAAAAACAAGACACACTTAACTACAACAGAATTTGGCTTCCAACTTCCCAAAACCATCTCCTGAAGACATTTACTTTCTAATCCTTGCATGATGCTACAAGACTTAAGGTTTGTCAGCACCACCCTCAAAAGCAGCATTTCTAATCTTCCAACCCTCTTCAACTATTGTGTTACTCTTTTGTCTCTTTTTGTTTTGTTCCTTGATACTTCTAACCATATCCATAGCCATATTTTGGTGCTCTCTTGTTTGTGAATGCATATCCAAGCCCCCCATGGTGTCACAATCAACTTTGCAAATGCGACACCAGCTCATACTCAATGAAATCCTATTCCTTGTTCTATCGAAGGAGTCAACATCATCCAGGACACGGAAAAGCTGACTTGTTCCCTTCAACTGATTCACCAAAAGGTAGATGCGGGAAAGTACTGAATACTCTGGCATCTGATATCAAGAATGGAGGAAATCGAGAAGACTGGGGGAAGATAAAAGAATCGATTTTGACCATTGCTTCAGAGAGGCGAATTAAGTGGCACACTCTTTGGTTCAACATATTATGTCTAACTCAGATTTTGTCTTCTTTAATTCTTCCCATTTACCTAAAACTGTTAGAAATGCTCTATTGTTTCAATCACTTTTGGAAGCATTATATCGCAAATTTGAAAGAGTCATTTCGAGAGTATAAACTAAGATACAAAATATTGGTAAACATTTAACGATAACATGTTAAAAAGTGATGTTTACCTTGATCAGTTGTCCATCAATGAAGCAATTACGATGTTCGAAACGGAACCATAACCAAAGTTTTAAGGTATTTAATCACATATAAATGATTCAAGTGTTTGAGAATTCATCAACCAAATCCTGAAACACAGAAAATCACCTCAATTAACCATATCAAGAAACTGAAATATACAGTCGAACTAGACTGTTATACATAATATGTATATTCTCACATAAAAATGGAATATCAAGTTGGTAATGGATGCAAACCAAAATAGATAATATGCTTATCAACAAATGAAATAAAGAATGTATTGAACACTCATCCTGTAAGACAATTTAAAAAAATATAAGTTTATAAAAGATATACATATCATACAATCATCAATACTAAAAATAGTAGGTATGGTCCAAAAATAAGAAGTGCATGCAGATGTAAGAAGATATGAGATACAGATGTCCTATTTAAACAAAGCATTACAACAGAAGCCCAGAGATTTTTTTTTGCACTGACTGTGTTCTAGTCCAAATCTAAATAGGAAGGGAAATGTAAATAAAGGAAAAATTCAACATATTAAAACGGGAAGTAACTAAAACATTATACAATTCATATCCATCATATATGTAAGTTGTATAATAAGACAATACAATTTATAAATAAAGGTATTCTCACCTAGGCCTTACCAAACCGTGTTAGATTATGTCTCAATTCTCTCAAAGTAATCATATTCTTAAACAAACCAGTGGAAAAGAAGAAAGAAACAGTCGATTATCATCAACGAGTAGACTACACTTCTAAATCAAATTGACTGAACAGTACATTTTGGGATTGTAGGGGTCAGAAAGGTATACCTTTTGGATAAATGGGGAAATATCTTTTTTTTCCTTAGTTTTCTTTTGATCTGTAAGAGTAATACG